CTTTGCTTTGGTGAGTATATTTTGCGTTAATTTTGTTTATCACAGCTTTCATATAACAATATTTGGCGTAATGAAAAGTTATATTAGTGTTCTAAAAGTTTTAGGTCTTTCTTTCAGAAGAAATGGCTCTAAAGAGCCAGAGAATGTTCAACCTAATACGCTGGTTGCCAACGTGACTCCACGCATGAACAAACAAAACTCAAACAAAACTCAATGCGAGCCCACTTGTGGGTATATTACACCTCTACGGAGGATTATTGCCCCTCTTCGAAGGGTTATTGCACCTCTTATGAGGATTATTGCCCCTCTTCGGAGGGTTATTGCACCTCTTATGAGGATTAATGAGGCCATATTATATGGGAAGAATCGACCSTTTTTTAAYGGKATAAACATGGCGTTTCGGGAAATGAAAACAAGCCCCTGTTTAGGGAATAGTCGRCCTATCTGGAGAATTATTGAGCCTTTATTGTATTACAATGTCAAGCTACAAATTTCGAAGAAAATTGAGAGGTTCATATTAAACCAAACGTTGATGAAAGCTGTGATAAATATCGATGAAGATGTAAGCTCACATGGATGTAAACTTAAACCCAATTCTTTATTGTTTGATAATAATATGTATAGATCATCAATAAGAAGTGTTCATAAACATACTTATAACTCATGCAAACGAGCTCGTAGAGAAAGAGAGCCTTCACGAATTTATATTCAAGAACTTTTTAGAAAATGTAAACAACGAAAAGTGAGAGCCATTGTGAAACAAGCTATCAAAAGATCATGTCCTTCGTCATCAAAACTGTATAATTTAATTATTAATTATAAACATGGCTATGCAAGTTTTATGCACAGAATGCAGTGCTTCTACAKTAAATATTATTTTGCCTTGTGTGTAAAAGAAAAGTATTGTCACTATAAAAAATTATCAGATGATAATTCAAGTAGCATTTATCAATCTACTAAACGAAYGCAGTCAAATATTGACAAAATTAAGACYACAGCCAATGATCAAATTAACTGCACAAATAAGCTTTTAAGTGTATTGAAAACTTTGCATAATGTCTCTGCTACAAMTATTTTGCTCTCTGGTGACATCGAATTGAATCCAGGTCCTACTAATAAACAACAATTAGTATCTTTCACTAACCCCAATTTTCTATTGAACTATCGACTTCTTAGATATGAACGAAAACCACTAGATGTGGGTGGAGGAGGTGATTGTTTCTTTAAGTCTATATCACATCAGCTATATGGTGATTCAAATCATCATGCAGAAATCAGAGCTACAGGTGTTAGATATTTGAGACAAAATCCTGAGAGATTTWTAGAGAGCAATGTACAGAATTCATGGTTACAGTACATAACAAATATGTCAATGCAAGGAACATGGGCTGATAATATCATTATACAAGCAGTAGCTGATGCTATGAATTTAAAAATTCACATAATAGAATCAGATGATCGTTTTAATCACACAACAATGGTGGAGCCTGTAAATACAATTGAAAATTCTACTTCTATATTCATAGGACATATAGGAGAAATGCATTATGTTTCGACATACTCTATTGTAACCAGACGAAGTAAACCGCAACAATTGTACAATCAAAATATTGACCTTGTTGATAATGAAGTATTGGCAACATCCCAAAATCCTCAAAAGAGGAATTATGATGCTATTTCAAATGAAAACACTACACCAATAACAACTTCAAATTTAGATGTTGAAACTGCTAAAAGACAAAAAAAAGCGGCTTATATGAGGCAGTATAGAGCAAAAAAAGCGTCTCCAGCAAAGAAAGCTGAACAAAATACATACATGAGACAATATAGAGCATCAAAAGGATGTACTATGTTAACAGAATTAGAAAATGAAATCACTGGAAATCAAATTAAAGATGTAGAAATTTTAATCTCAAAGTTTCATAAACTTGTTGAAAAGGGTCCTCTGTATGTTTGTACATGCTGTGACCAATTGTGGTATAGGCATAGTGTAGTTAATACTTGCAAAATCAGGGAATCAAATCCTGAAATTATAAAATATCTTAATGACAAGAAAAGTGTTCTAAATAAAGAGTGGGTTTGCAAAACATGCCATTCTCATTTGACTAAAAATCGAGTTCCACCATGTGCTATTGCTAATGGTATGGCCTTTCCCAAAAAA